AGAATGTTATTTTAGGAAACAACGCCACATAAACAGACGAATTGGGACAATATCACATTTTTTCATCCCACTATCCGCATTCAAATAGGAAGTTTTCGGGAGGTGTCCGTTGGGAAGAATCGACACATGATGCAGTTGTAAAACACATCGGAAATGTATTGTACAAAGCTAGAGATTAGGAAGTCATCTGGACGCGTCGTTTCACTCCGGTGCGCACTCGATGGATTCACCCAACAGAACTATCTCACGTCCTATTATTTTCACCTATGTTAGGAGTGAACACAATACTGAGCAAACCATTGAGGCCGAAAACGTAGCTGTCAGTTCAAAAACAAACCTCACATCAGCTCAGATTCGATATTCCTCACGCTCCAGGCCATTTACGAAAAGGCTTATAATCAATCCTTGTTTGAAATCATAGGGTGTGTAACTCAACTTTTCTTATTTTTTTCAAGAAGAAAAGAGGTCCGTGTGACCAATCAGCGTACGCTAGTGTTTGACGTATTATTGATCGTTTCCAATGTGCATACATTCCACCCTCATAATTGGTTCCTTTGCCTTATCCATTGTTGTGCCATTGTTGTGCTGGGTCGTCGAGCGTTAGTACAGCATCACCGCATCCGGCCCTTCTTCCTTCAACCGGCTTGGTAAGAGCCATGTACAAGTCACACTTATATGGTGAAATCTGGAAGGTGACTTAAGACACATACTAGACAACACGTTCCTACGTTCATTTTAGGAACAATCCCATAATCGTCATTCTACGTTTGCCAGAAATCCTATTTCTTTTATCGCCAGGTATCTTATCAGCTATGGCCTATCAAATTATTTCAAGGAGTTCGGGACCTCGTTTGCTGACTTGTTTTGAAGCACTATTTATTACACGATTTAAGCAGACCTGTCAGTCATTTAGCTCACAAGCCGTTCACTGAAATGCAGTGGTTTCAGCTTCTGTAGCTCTGTTCATTGGGGAGAAGGCGAGGGGAGTAAGAGTCATTATTTGGCGGCGGACCCAATCTGTGAATTGACGATAAGTGGACCCGTTTGTCCATTGTGGCAGGAGTTGAAATCTACGCTATTAATCGATAGCTTTGATACGGGGCCATCACTGGCTAAGTGACTGTCAGGGTCACTAACCACTGGTTTGTTTCTTCCGGCGGTTTCTGTCTGGACAGACTGCAGTCACTAGCGCAACTCAGTCGACTGGTGAGGACTTTCTTACTTCGTTGCCACGTCTTGGACCGACCGGCTGTAGGCCGTCTCCATCCGACACAAGATTGAGCAGAGAGGGGGCTACAAAGCAAACGGTGGTTAGGCTCATCAGCAAGCAGGAGGTTAGGGTTCAAGTCCACATCGGTGGACAAATTACACTTGCCGGTAGCTCAGGCCCAGAAAGGAGGTTTGGTTGGGGTACCCCATCTTCAGCCTTTGACTTAAAAGTCCCACCCACAAGGTGATGGAAGAATGTAGGGTTTTGCTCCAGGACATTCCCCCTCACCCAAGCCTCTGAACCGTGAGACAGTGGTTGTGGTTGAGAAACCCCTCCTGGAGCTAAGAACTCCATAGTCCGGCCCGCTGGGTTGCAAGGGCTGGCCTGGCCCGAGGACGCAGGGACTCCTGACTCCTGATATGGCTGCGCGCAGCAGGTGCCTTTTGAGCAGCACTAGACAGACTCTTTGGTTTTAAAGGTATTTCGACCATAATGAACAATGCGCCGACGATCGTGTGTTCGGCGATCGGAGTGCGCGATTTTTAGGTCCGATCTATTCCAACCCGTCCTTCCTCGGAGGACGGCGACATCGCTGCTTCCATAAATGTAAACATGCTGGTCACTTGAAGGAAATGTCTTGCTAACTTCGTATTCCCATCGCATAAGACAGTACGACTGTCTCCGGACTGCCTTTCAGTGCCCGTTGTTCATCGTCGGACTGCCGCCTTTTGGCCTTTCTGGCATGGCTGAAACTTTAGAAACTCAGTTTAGCCAGTATAGCCTAAAGTATCATTACAGCACAGAAACCCGATCACCACGGCAAGGTGCCAGCTTTCGGTTGGAAGCAAACCTGAGTCAGTTGTTGCGTCTATCCTGGTTCTTGAGATTCGGTGGTACATTTTCCTCCACATAGAACCGGAGTTTCGAGCTTATATTGATTCGTACGTTCTTTTTCCGTTGTTTACGTGACGCTTCCGGTTAACAGGGGCGTTTGAATTCGTACCGTCCCAAACAGACTGTCTTCTTTCGCTATTCGGATATTCATCGCGATTTTTTTATCTCATTAAGTCCCAGTAAGAAGCGTCAAAATCAAAGGTCAACTATGCGACGAAAAATGGTGCACCCCCGTCGCACGTGTTTACACTTTGGTTAATTTAAGGCTCATAATCGACTATGTACATGTTTGATTCCTTTACGCTAATGCTTGCTCATCCCATCAAGTTGTACATGATATTTTCTGACTACATCTATATCTCATGACTCGCCTGATACATTTATTAAAACAAAATGTCCGGTTATCCGGATCGTTATTCTGCAAGCGGGTTCGCTCCTGTGACTACTTTATTATTGGACTGATGTTTGAGGGATTGCTTCGAAAATCACAAAGCACAGTACGCATCTGATCCACAATGCCACCGCTAGTCACGCTATCCGGTCAAATAGAAAAGGACCAAGTATTCCTTTTCTACCGAGGTGGGCGTACAGTCGTTGTCTCTGTGAATACAGGTTAGCAATGCATTGATCCAGCAGTTAAATGGTTTGCTTTTAACATTGCGGTGTACGTGTCATCGCTTGTCCCAGTGAGCACGTTGTTCCTCGTTTTGTTCTGTCTAGGATAGCCACCTGGAAAGCATTCCTCATTCATGCCCGTCGCTTGGTTGCTATTGAGCAGCGTAGAAATAGTGTGGGTCGATCAGTTCGAGTGTAGAATCATGTTTTGTTTTTTCTGTAACTGGTTTGCTTGCCATCATGCGTCTGTCCTCTGTGCGCCACGCTCGGAAATAAAACATAGGAGCCTCACCCGGATAGTTTAACTTGTATGATGGGAAGCAGTCCATGAAATATGATTAACAGCAGCGCGACTGGTTTTCCCAGTGGCAAGATGGCTAGGTGGTTAGAGTGCCAATCTACTGGCTGGAAGTCCATGGTTCGAACCCGACCTCTGCCTCTGGACTTCCCCTGTCTAGGCTTGGGCAACCTGACATTATCCCAGCCCTCGTGCTTCCTTCGGATGGCATGGCAGTTAGGCACCGGAAGGGTGCTGCATCTGACCGATTGGTTTTCGAGTTTTTGGTGTTGTTATTCATCCTCCTGCTTGAATCGAAGTGCGAGAGGATGACAAACTGAGGAGTGCTTGAAACCGAATAACTTCATCCAAACTTCTGATAACCGCTTGAAATTTAATACCCCTGTCCGTCTGTTTACAGCTGGTGGTTGGGTTGTGGTGATTATATCCAGGAGCAACCAGCAGGCCATTTCTCCTCACCTTACTTGCGAGCAGTTATGATTTGTCAGCGATGGCCTCCACATGGGTCTGCCAGCTTCAAGAGTCAACTCGATGGTTGACACGTAAATTTTAACCAACAAAGTGGTCATCTTTTCTACCTTCATGCGAGGATTGTCTGTCCACTCGCTACTCATGGCAAACCTCAGTGCGTGTGTTCTGCTCCCGGAGTCAAAATGCAACATCCGAATTTAGCTGAGTAGGTTCATATGCGACTGAAGTAATTCCTACCCTATTCGATGAACTTGTTGAGCAAATACTGTCACAGAGCACGGTATCCGTTAAAAATAACCTCTCGTTTTTCTCAGCGTGACTTCCAACGCCTAATTGTTGCTCAGTGATAAACGGTCCACCTGCTTGGATAATACACCACTAGCGGCAGCAAGGTTAAATGGCTCGTTAGGGATAGTTCGGGTTTTTTCCCTCGGAATTTTTTCCCCAAAACTAACCCGTCTGGAAAACGGGCGATGAATTTTTAGTGAAGGTCGAAGAGGAAACCAGCGTATCAGTTTGCATATTCCGCCAAATCTTATGTGATTCATTTTTCGTAGATATTGTCCTAGATCCACCCTTTCGTATGCGCTTCCATGTGTCTTATTGGGTTGACCTCTTTGGAGGCTAACTGGTCACACTTCCTTATTCTTTCAGCCGCTTGGTTTTCCCCACTCCAATTCAGTCATGAAAAGCCTATTTTTCTCGTCAGGATGCCGTAACAGAGCGTACAGCTGTAGCTTAAATAGTCGTAATTTTTGGCGAGCTCTTTTCGCCCATACACAACGACCCGATAACTGACCAACTGGCACTGAACCGATCAACATGGGCAAATGTTGGGATGTCACAAATTTATCTTACCATATGGTGATAACCGTTTGGCAAATCAAAATGCCGTACACGGTAGTTCTCTAGAAATCTAGTTTTCCTTGCACGTGACCGTCAGAGGCCCGAAAATATAAGCACTAGTGTCTAAGTTAAATCGACCTAACCAGAACTCTACCTCTCACATTTTAAAGATCTGCACCATGTGCGTCAAGTTCGTTTGGTGAGAACATCGGTAGTGTTTTGAAGTGATCCAACAACAAATTAACAACCTGGGTTACATAGACGAGTTTTGTTAGGAAGTCTAACGCCCCATCAAGGGTAATCGGCTACGCGAAAGGACGATTTTGTTCCATTCCGTGGATATCCATCAAAAGGAGAATCGCTGTATACTTCTGTGTGCTGTTCCTTACACGGGCATGATTGTCATGGTAAATATATCCGTGATTGCTCTGCTGAAGGTTTGTGCTGCTTTCCTTCGAACCTATGTCACTTCTCCCTCCTACTGACTTTATACCGCTTTTAAATTTATCAGTAGCCTTTCACCTAGTGGTTGTAAATGTTGCATTCATTTTCCAAAGTCGGCTATCATCTCTGCTGAGTTTTTTTGTCTATGTTGTATGTTCTCAGTGATCATCCCTCTCACAGCTTCCGTTGTAACCTGAGCTATCCTCTCACCCATCTCCCCAGGTATCAGCACCGCTATGTTTCTGTCTGTATCACGACCGCACCGGGCATCTCTCCCGGTGGCTATGGGCGAAACATGCCAACCCTCCAGAAACCGGAATTCGACCACCTGCGACCAATTCTTCGGCCAATTGCACTCCCGGTTTAAATGGGACCAACTTCTTCCCAGACCCTGATCCTTCACTATTGGTCGAGTAAATTCATGTCCTTATGATGTAAACCTCGTTTATTAGTTTCCGCTCTCGAACCGTGTTTACTCAGACACCACTTTCCTACCGTGTCCCTCAGGGATGCCCACTATCTCCATTCATTTTTAACTTTGTGATCGATGAAATAATGAGACGAACGCTGGAGGGTCTCCAAAACCCTGGTGTTCAAATAGCCAGTGAAGAAAACCTTGTCGATCTGGAATATGCAGACGACATCGTTCTCATGTTCGAAGAGGAGGAGAAGGCGCAAGTATTCTTGGATGAACTGACCAAAGTCATCCCGTCCTTTGGTATGCATTTTGCACCCACAAAGTGTAAGGTCATGCTTGTGGACGTGCAGTCACTGAACACGCCCCTTACAATCCAGGGAGAGGTACTGGAAGTTGTGGAGCGTTTTACGTACCTTGGAAGTTGTATTAGTTCTGATTGCAGTGTGACAGATGAGGTGAATGCACGAATCTGCAAGGCTCGGGCCGCGTTTGCTAACTTGAGACACCTATGGCGTCAGAATGGTTTATCCCTGAATCTGAAGGGACGTGTGTATCAAGCTACAGTACGGGCTGTTTTGTTGTATGGCTGTGAGACTTGGCCTATTCGAGCAGCGGACCTGAGACGTCTTCAGGTGTTCGACAATCGTTGTCTCAGAACCATAGCTCGTGTGGGTTGGTGTCGGTGAATCCGTAACGAGGCAGTTAGAAAGCGTGTTTTCGGTTGTGTAACGGGTACTTCCATTGAAGATTGTGTCCAGCACCAGAAGCTGCGTTGGTTGGGACATGTGTTACGTATGCCGAACCATCGTTTGCCGAAGAGAGTGCTGTTTTCCATGCCCAATTCGGAGTGGCGTAAACAGAGAGGTGGCCAACCCTTGACTTGGCGGAGGAGTATGAAGGAGATCACGAAACGCTTGGGTGCTGTCGGTGCTACTCGCCTTCCAGGATGGGGACCGCGTGATCCTCACTGTGCCTGGTTGGAGACACTACAAGATATGGCTGCCAACCGATGTCAGTGGCGTTCCTGTTGTCAGTTTCTATCCAGATTGCCTGAGTGAATGTCTGGAGGTGTAGGCACCTCGAAATGATTGTGTTAAGCTAGCACTAAGTCCCTTTCCCGTCCACCCTTACTCTTTTCTCTGCAATAAGGCATGTGCTTAAGTCATGGTTGTACGGCAGTGAAGCATCAGTGTTGAACACTGATGTCACGCTGTCGATGATGATGATGATGAACGCCTGAATAGCTAATACGTCCTCAGAATAGGCTGCCCGTCTATTCAACGAAGCCGTACATTAGGACCAACGAGGATTCAACCCTGTAAACTGGGGAGGCTTAGTAGATAGTTTACTTGCGAAAATGCAGTTTTGTGTTCCAGAGGTGTAGCCTAGTAGTTAGGTAATCCAAGTTCACGTCGTGTGGCCGAAAGCTCGTTGGGATTCCTATATAAACCAATCATGAGTTCGCGGAATCAGTTGGGCTCAATGTGAAACTTTGCTGAAAACTTCCGTGTGGCTCATCTTACTAGCGAACCACTCAAAACTCCCAATGTCCGTGGGCCTCTTCTTTTCGAGGTACCATTTGACTGAATTGCATTTGAGCATCTAATAGTTATTGCTTTCTTTAATGCATGTTTTCCTTTTCTGCCGTAGTAAGCCACTACCACAATTGACAACATCTGACGAAGAAGACCTCATTCTCTACGGACAGTTGATCGAGTTGTGCAAACGTGAAAGGCCTGAAGTGTTTCCCACCGGAGATGTACCACCAGCTCAAGCCATGGATACCGGTATAGATGTGGACGACTGGATGTGAGTCCTGATTGTATCACTGTGTAAAGTAATCTCTTATTCACTCACAATATACATAGATAGTGGGCTTATCTCACGTGCTTACCACGAGCCTTCTGAAAAGCCGTTACTCAAGGAGACGCTCAAAATCAGGTCACTCAACATGCACTGTAGGAATGAAGGAGGATTGGTGCCATGTTTATCTAGAAGAGAGTTAGTTGTACCACTGACCAGTCACCAATAGCTGAGAAACAAAGTATGCGAGCCACTGTTAGGGGGTCGAGTTTTGAATCCCTGCCGAGCGTCATGATTTACGCGCCTCGGCGATTCCCGACAATGACGAGAATGCTGTGCAACGCCTATCGGGTTTTTAGTGTACGATAATTACTTTATTTGCTGGATCATATTTAGGCACTTGACTTCAAAGTATGCCCGCTATTCATAGGATAGGTCTATTTATTGTCGATTGCAACCGACGAAGAAATCCTTCAGCGGACTATTTGTACAGTGTTATTGGAGAAGAATGAGGAAGCTCTGCAAGCGGTTCTTAGGTTTAAAGTCCTGATGCCCTCAACTGTGGTACACCACTTCAAGGTCAGTTCATTCAAATGGTATAAGAACTACTACTCAAGCTCCTTAGATCGACCATGCAAACCTGAGGAATCCCAACAACGTTGGACCTACTGCTATCCACCTGAACTAATGTACAAGCCACCCACCGCCTATAACAGCTGCTGACTATGTGAATTATATTGCCGATTATGATGCTTCTGATTGGTATCATCATTTCTATGAAATCCACAAGTCACCTTTGTTTTCCTCCTCCCATGGGTAGTTTTTTGTGGCGTAACACACATTCGTTTCTGCTTTCGACAATCCAATGTTCCATTCTCCACCTTTCCAGAACAGACACTGAATTCTGCGCCGACAAATCCCGGTACTTTGCGTTCATAGTTTTCACAAACGGTGTTCTCGAGGTGAGTTGGCACGATCCTGGAGAGGAACTTCCAGTCACATTCACAATGCATCTGTCGTCCCTTTTGTCAATACCAGTGTAACATTATGCCTAGTAATCCAACATGGCCCCCATCCGGTAGTCAGCTCTGGGGTTCTTGAGGAGCTTACATCCAATGTGGTTCCTTTGGAGTTTTGATTTAGCATGTGATCGCTGTATTGCCGTAAAAGACGCAACGCTCTCACCGCTTGGTAACAACCTGTGGCTTTTCTAACCTTCGACCGATCAACTCCCTTTCCAAGCCTCTTGTCGTTCAGGTTTCAATCTCACGACAGTACTGTTTGAATTTTAGATCTACAGTCTACCCGACTTCACTCTACTGTATGAAGTACATCGCTTTTCTGACCTTCCCGCTATGCTGGTTGACTGTCGTGCTGGACAACCTTCGAGTCACAATCCAGTAATTCCCAAGTAAGCCATCTTTTTTTGCCAACGCCCTGAATCACACATGGTCTTATAACTTAGGGCATATGCTTATTTAGTCAATTGCTAAACATAATTGATTAAACATCAGCTTTTTCTTACTAATTAAATGGAAGTTACTGGATTGGGTTACACTGTGCTTCATGTGATGGGTATCGTCAACGGGTCGTGCAAGCCAAATGGGAAACTGAAAACTCTATTTTGCTTCTCTGTATCCCCTCAAACAAGAGTATCGTCAACCAAAGATTAAGCTATGTCTCGTTAATAGCAGTTTGATTCCTAGGAAAATGTTCAAATCTAGGTACCTCCAATTCGATGTTTAGTCAGGAAATAAACTTGATGTAAACTTGGGAAATGCACCTCACTGACGAGCCCCGATAAACACCGGACTGATGTCTGTTTAAGAGTTTTAACCAACCTTATACGCACTGTCATACCGAGAAATTTCTGATGTCGTTTCGTGAGGCCGACCAGAACATATTTTTCCTCGATAGATGTGGGATTTCAGAACTGTATTCTTGACAGTACGCAGGGCTCCGATAAGTATCATGTGATACAGGTTAACAGGCATTAGCTGAAGGCTTTGTACTCCGTATTCTTCTCAAAATAATATTTTCTTTACTCTCTGATAGGATTGCACTTATTCGTGTTCCTTCAAGAGAGCTACGTTCTTTCGGTTGGAATTGTGTCACTGGTGATCTAAGCCGAAACCTGCATCCGCACCATTTGACTCCATGTACATGTAGTACATTGTCTCTATAAACAATATTTCAATCCTTTATTGCTTCTCATGCACCTGTCTACATGTCGACCATTCCTACAGTATGTCTTTGAATTCCTTACTGCACTAGGTACCTCCTGGTTTCAACACTTGAGCTGGTGAAATCGTTCTGTAGCGTTAACTGATGTTCAAATTAATAGCTCTGATTGTCGAACTGCTTTCTCATGATGGAATATTCAGGATCAGATGGCGTAGGGGAGAAGACAACCCTAGGAAATGACAGGAACTACTTATCCTACGCTTTCTGGTTGAACTTTCCACACATCTGAGCTCCCGGTGATTCCGCAGCTCGTTACACTTATGCAGTACTATTAATGAACCCGATGCGTGATCTCCATCATCATCATCATCCAGTTACTCAGAGGTCTTTGATGTGCCGTATGCGAAATTATAAAAGGATAGTGTACATTCCGGAACTGGAGATGCCGATTGGTGTTTTAGGGTGGAGTCGGACGTTTTCCTCCATGTTTGCTTCCACTTTCCAAGAATCCCTTCACCTGAGTAGTCGTGGTCGAATCCAATAAGAATTCAGGGGCCACTTACCATGGTATGGTACTCCATGTGGTCCACCTCAATCGGGAACGTTATTGACTGTTCAATTAGGATAGTTCAGGTGTACCCAGCTGGCATAAGTAGAATTGGGGTAAGTGTGCTCATTCGGTCTGTCAGATAGCTGTAACTTACTCGGTGGAGCAATCCATGATGTGGATTGCACGTTAGCTATACTATTCAAGGAACTCCAGTCTATTGCTTCCTCTTTGTTGTGAACTGGCTGATATACTCGCGCCAGTATAAGGTGAGCTGCTTACCCGATGTTGATGTCTGTAACAGTTGTGTTGAATATGTTGATGGCGGTTTAACTGGGACTCTTGGGGCGATTTTGTCGTGATGCCGTTTTCCTTGCTTGTAGATGAGTCATTCCCCAAAATAACCCTACTAATCTTCACTCGGACTACATTTTCACGTATCGCTGCAGTACTGTGTTTACCCTTAACACTTGTTCAGCGTGTTTCGCCTTGTCTTCATTATTCAGTTATTATTATTATTATTATTATTATTATTATTATTATTATTATTCGTTCCTTACACAACGCACTACACTTGACTATTTTATCCAATTTTTAGCTTCATAAGTTTAGCCGCTCCGTAAATGAGGTCCAAATGGCGGTCGTAACACTTAGCATCGTCACCATGTCTGGTTGTTTTGCGGTACCATAAAATATTAGTCGAATGGGGTGGACTATTCTCGGGTTTGTCGTTGATCTCAACACACATCTGGCAGTTTTTTTCGGAATGGCTTGTTTTCTCTACATGGCAAAGCAGAACTTCTGAAAAGGACACTAGGACAGTCTTACCAAACTGTTACCTGCTATTCGAGCAACTGGTCAAACTGGCGCTCAAAGTACTTTTTGACCCATCGGTCTCCTCGATTGAATGTCGCTATTATGGACTCGTTTTAGGCATACAGTCGGGAGGTATTGACAACGTCACATTACGTGTCTTGAGCAGTTTCCAGTATATCCAATTGCGATGGTGGAAATTTGTTGTTCTTAGCGTACATCTTTCCTTCACGCTAACGACATATCTATGATATTCAAGTGTCTTTAATCGAAGAATATCCTTGCTCTACATCAATTTGCTGGCATTCCATTCAGGTTTTTTGCCATGCGATGTATCTAAGCTCAAGTCCCGCATGATGCTTCTTTGAGGTCGAGCCCACTGTGTCTATCGGTGTCGGAACTCAAGACTATTCAAGGATTTATTTGTGAGCTCCGTTCTTAAATCCCATTAAGTTCCTTACGTTTTGACCGGTCATGGGTAACGGGCCGATAACTCAGCTGATGTGCTTCATTCTGATGGCACGACGGTTTTCAGTGAAAAGGATGCACTAGATGCACGATATGATTTTTTGGCTGAACTTTGTTCCAGTGGGTGTTTCTCGCTTATAACTAACGAGTGCTAAACACGACAGTCTGTATAGCACATGTAGCGTGGAGCACTCTCTTAAACGGAACGACCTGCATGTTCATTGATAAGCCTGCAACAAGATACTAGAGATGAGTGCACAGGGATACGACGCGGAAGTCGATATTGGTTATTCATGCGTTATGCACAAAACGAACAAAAAACACTTGAACTGCGCATTGTGTTAGTAATACACTGAGCGGACCAAAGGAGTGTAACTTATCAAAACTCATCACCTGGAAACTTGATCTGGTACCCTCACAAACCGCACTGTGTCCAGTAGCTGCGGATTTTACCACAGCTGGATCTGCGAACTCAAGAATATAGGTGTCCCGCTGTTAGAGTTCGACGCAGAGTTATCATGTTTGCATGCTCTGTTTGTGGAAAAGCTTGAAAGATTACAGTGCTCCAAATGATCGCATATGGCTGGCCAGAAGTTTGTCAAATCGGTTTGATTTGGGGAATTTTGCACAAAAGAGGTTAGTCTCGTCTCTGATGAACAGGAAGCCTGATCACCTGTTGTAAACGAAAGGGCACGCGCTTGGATGACATTCGAACGCGCACTCTAGTTGAGTGTTTTGTTAGCTGAGTTTCCGCGAACGTGCTCACTTAGGGCATTTGTACTCCTTTGCAGACCATCGCTCTATATTGACAAGGCACGTTCATGGGGACGTTCTGCTCCAGTCTTGCCCGTGTACTGCTACTGCACGCATTCGTTCTTGCTCGCTCTAGTGCAAGAATTACTCCTGTAAGAGACTTCCCGAAGGCATGCACTCTGACATTTATGCAGTCCAATGCCTTACTGGGATGTTTTAATGGAAAATAGCACATGATCCTACCCGTATCAACCGTCCCTATAAGGTTTTCACAGTCATCTTATGGAGAGGACCACAATTGAGACGGACTAACAACAGAATTGCCCATCTGTTACTAGTAGCATGCGTTCGTGTTGTCGCACAGGTTAGAGTACTGTGCAAAAACGAGGATAGAATGAAGGAGGTAAATATGGAGAAGAGTTCGTAGACGAATTCACGGGATTGAATGCGATTATGAGCCATTTCCATCAACGTTTCTCACCAAATACAGTCATCATTTTTCCAGGGTTCTATTTGGGCATACTGTACTAATTGGTGTCAATTCCTAAGCTATTCAAACCTTAGATGAGCACATTATAAACTTAAATGCGAACCCGTCGACAAAAACTACATACATATGTTTAGTTAGACCATCGGCTTATGTTTGGAATTTCATTCCAGGCTGTTAAACACTTGCAATCTAAATAGAACTGCTTCCCCACTCCCATGTTGATCTTAGTGGCCGTTTGTTGGTGAACTGAAGTTTTTTACTCGTTGTTTGCAGCCCACCAGCAGAAGAGGAGAATATTCCGCCTACCGTGCTGGAAATCACTGTTTTCCCGATTGGTCGAAATCGCGATCGCCCGGTACTTTTGGTGAGTTCGCTTATCCCCGTCACACCAACAACACATTGCCTGTTCATTCACCAGTCCTGTAGGCAAAAAACCTACAGTTGTCACTTACACACACAGCATATGAAATTGGTTAAAAGCGACAGAAAAAGGTCCTAGTAATTGGACTTGATTCCGTTCTACACACCCCCATCTGTCTTCATAATCGTCGGTAGCCTCAAGCTATGCTAATCATTATGCCGATGCTATGTCTTCGTATCGTTTCATTGAATGAACGATCGTAGAATGAGAGTTTTTTGTCCTTGTTTAAGTCGTATTTTCACGTATTTTTCACGATATACCATGTATACTAATGTACATTCTTTTTGGGAATGTTAGGAGTGCTGTCTGATAGGATCAACAGGACTCATTGAGAATTTGTCCCCAATGCGCTTTTTAACCATTCTGTCTTGATCACCCAAGCAATGTTGTGAACTGTGAAGGCTATTCTGTTTACATGTTGTTGGGATCACACACCATGGCCAACCTAACGTGAATTTTCCCCGAAGTGACGGGATAAAAAATTGTTGTCCCTGTGCTTTTTATCTGAATGGGTGCGAATTCTTTGTGCAGGTTGTTAGTACCTTCCCTCTCGATACTGAACTTCGTCTACTCTCCCATCATGTGTGGCTCAGTTGCGTCGATGATACATTTACAGTCACATCTAACTCCAAAAAAGAAGTCGGTTTGCATGTCTTAACGGGTAATACAACAGCATCAAGTCCGTCGTGGAAATTACTTTCCTGTGCTGTTACTTGACGCTAGACAGAAAATGGAATTTTTACCTTGTACTTTCATAGAAATTCCACGTATTCAGGTCGATATTTACACCACACTTCAGCACTATCGCAAGGTCCTTCGCTGATCAAACTAACGAACTCTACTCAAATGACACAGCAATAAAACGATAGTAATCGTCCTTGACAAGCGATAGAGAATGGTGGGCATCCAAAGCACGTCATCATAAAACTAATATAGGTGTCTTACCAATGCAAAGCCACTGAGACATACTGCTCATCGAGCTTTTGTGAACACAGCTTGCAGAATTGGAACTTTAGATTTCACCCAGAAAGTCCTATAGAGTTGATACATGATTTCAAGTGAACTGTTTGTTCGGTGGGAAGTTTCCTGAATAAAAGCATCACAATAGCTGTTAACCGAATCAGGTACACAGACTGTCCTGTCTAGTGTATGTGGGACTCGTCCAGACCACTTCTGGTGAGGATGAGTGCTGGACTCAAGTGCTATGCATGATCCTCACCACGCAACCTAATTGAAATGAAAATAAACGAAAGAGCTTTCGTTCATTGCATTGAAAACCTTAGCAACTGTTTCGATTTCTCCCTCTTAACAACCTGTGAGCTTTTAGCCACCACTGTTCTGAAGCCGCCTGATTGGTAGTCAGTTACTCGGGGTTTTCAGTTTGGATGCAACAGGTGACGGAACCTCCCAGTAATTTCCCGTATTCTCTTCGATCCACTCATGATCCACTTCGTAAACCAAAACGTCACTCCTATTTCTGGCACCAACTCGAAATAGCTCAATGGTTAAGGCGCGAACTTGCTGACCGGAAAGTCCATGATCCAACCCCGGTATCTTGCCTTGGTAACCTAGCAGTATCTCAACCCACACGTTTCTTTCGGGTGGCATACACCCGAAAGTTTGTTACAGCTGAACGACTATGGTTTTCTTATTAAGTCCATTCTGGCATTGTTTGTTGCTCCTATTGTTTTTTGCACTGAGTTCTGTATAGGTTGGAGGTTTGCCGTCAGACACACCACTGTCGAGCGACTTATTGTTTTGCTCGTATTTCTATTTGCTGCACTCTTATTGATGTGTTGTACGTGGGTTGTTTTCTTGTTCTGTGTACGGTCGCAACACCGGGGTTCTCACCCACGCCTCGGTGCTTAAGAACAACTGGTAGAAGTAAACATTGGCTAGACTGTCAATAAACCGGCAAGTTTGCTTATAAATGGCACTTAAATTCCATATTCTGCTTGGGATTCAGTTAACAGCGTAAACCGAGGCTCCCCTTTTTAGGAGAAGTTTGTCATCACGTTGGATCCCGGTTGTATTTCACGTGATGAATTTTCGTCACCGTTTGTACACGAAATTAGCGTTGTCCTTAGTTCGATCAGGTTGGGGTTTGGGCTGTACGAGAGAGAACTGATAGGGACCGATACAGTCATCCTCTGGTGCGAGGAGACCTTTCTGAAGTGGGTCCCACTTGACCGGAATGCGTACTCGTTTAATTGACTGTTTCCGAACGCTTCGGATCTGACTTTGCAACTTGGTCGGAACTAACTAACTTCGAATATTCTCACGTAATGAATGACTTGGACCGCTGTTGTGATAATTTGGTTTTGAATAGGCTTGTGTACTTCATCCTTACAAATAGCACTTTCCAACCAGTAGTTTAGGCTACTTGCTCAATTCGCTCGAATGTAACATGCACAACATTTCAGCGACCTCCTCACAGCTGTTATCTCCATACTACGCGCGTGCCACCGAAAGGACATTAACATTCGATATTTCACACTTTTTTCCGCTGAACGGTGCTTAGTATCATTTGCTCCGAACATGCGACTACTTAGATAAACTGATTTTTCTCGAACCTCCTCGTGTTCAGGCTATTTTCTATTGAGGAGATTCAACAAATTAAAGAGAAACCGTAAAGGAAACCGGTCTCTCCACTGATTTCCTCGAGTCCCGCGTGGGGATCGCTAGGTTCATGCACACTGCGCAACTAGAGCTGCTCCTCGATTAGCACAGGTTACTTCAGTGGATCTATATCTTGGTTTCTTCATTGGCTTTTCGAGTGTCTTGTATTGTGGTTGGTTAAATCTTACAGTGCATGTTGAGGGGAGGGGGCAGATAAACACCCTCGCTGAGCCCATCTGAGAAAGCCAAGACTACATATTCCGAGTTTGAAAACCGTTCGCAAAAATACACCACAGGGGGTAATGAACATTTTGTTCACCTTTCTTTGTTTGAACGTGTGTCTTCATCGTCCGTTTTCAAGTTCCTTTCAGCTTTATTCCATTGAAAGGCGTTGAGCACCTGTGCTGAGTGAGAAGCTATTAAAGCAATTTCATTTTTTATGGGTGTCTCGGTGCCCGCTCAACATAGTCATCGGGTTTGAATATCTGGTTTCTATTCCACTTATCTGACAAAAAGTAGTATGGATGAGTCAAACATGCGAAATACTGATAAGAATAACTGCGACTGATGGTGAAAACAGATTCCTGATTAAAATATGGGAAACCTTTTTTTTTCTTTGAAACGGATTCACTTCATTCATATATGACTTGCAATAGGTTTTAAGTGGCTCTTAAAAATGCTCTGATTCATGTGATATCTACACCAGGAACATCCGTTCGAACTTCTTAGCATCATTCGAACCAACATGTTCCTATTCATAGCGCCAGATGTGTTATTTCATTCATCCCATACCCTCACCCCAGCTCACCGAGCAACCAATTGTCCCTAAGCGAATTTCTAGCCTCAATATTCTTGGGTGCACTCATCGGGCATTGATCCCAGCATCACGGCTTTTTGAAATCCACTCAGGAGAACTAACCTAGTGATTGAAAACACCCTTTTGGGACCGTTTACTTTACTGTTTTCCGCTTATCCAAACTCGACCTTCTCTAGGCCTCTGTGCATTTAGAAATGGATAGCGATGAGTCGCGTGTGATTCTTTATATGAACCGAAGGGCTGAGTGTTTCGGCATTTAGACACCTGATAAGCATTGCTCTCGTGACATTCTTGAGTTCTAGGACGTTTGCTGCTGACTGGCTGCGCGTCATCCGTCACGTGTTATGTTATCCTGGGGTGGAAGACCCAATACCCGGGTTTGTCACTCAAACTCGAGTCACTTCATTGTTGTTTCACACTTCCTATAATGCATGTTTTATGCTTGGAAACTGAATGTCAATTCCCATATTATACGGGTCAGGTGGCCTACTTGCCAATTGCAATAGTTCTTTTCCAAGAGAGGCATTGGGGTAGTCGGGGAAAATGAATTAGCTGCAATAATGCTCACCTCAGAATTGCTCCATCCGTACTCTGCATGACTGATGGCGTAGTCGAAACCCAAACTATCTATGGTTCGTTGAATCTGAAAATCCTTTTGCCTGAGGACCGTAGATTGGTGCATTTAAGCACTACTGCTCTGGATTAGGTGTATTCGCATCTATCGCCTCAGATATACCATCTATCAGTACCGCGCCTCTGTATTTCAATTAGTTGTTTCGCGTTCACTGGATTTCGAACACGATATGAACAGCATCGTTCTCATCTGTCGGATCTCAGGTAGACTAGTGAATTCTTTGATGTTCTTTGAGCATTTCAGCTAGACCGCTAATTACCGATTGGGATTTGCTTGTTGTAGGTGCGCACCAGCCAAGAAATAGCCTTCTTCGAGGCTCTCTGTCCATCACACAACGAGGCTCATCCATTTGCTTCAGAATCCTGGAGCCAAGAGGGACTACGCTGGCGTCGTTTGCCTATCCCATGTCCACTGGTTGCTCCGAGAAGGGTGCGCACAGATCCTAAAATTGCAGACGTACAGGTAAGCTACATAGGAATTTCACACAGCGTTGCTGGGGCTGTGTTTGAACTTTAGATATAGAATTTTGTTGTAAATCACTTCTTTGTATTGGACAGTCTCTGTAGTGACACGATGACGGCCTCCATACTACTTTCTTCTCTTTGTTTGAAATGAGTTGCTGTTCGATAAGTCTGTTAGCCACATAAGTTCATCCATAACCTCGCTTCCTAGCGCTTATCGCAAACATCAGACCACAAATAGTCTATATTTGAACGCTGTCTTTGATGAACATTGGTCATGGGATCGCCGTGTTCCGTTGACAAATGATGTCATACTAGTGATTGCATTCATCAACATGATTGCTCCGTTAGTGAATTTAAGACGACTCAGAGTTAAGTGTGCTGTCTTGTCAATTACTCTTATTTTGGCCTGGTCACATGGACTCCTTGGTTGCGCTACGGTCGAACAAGTTGGTTTTGATCATTCCCCAACACATGATTGCCCAGGGCACCTGTACCGTTTGACTTTCGTTGTAACAATTATCCCTATGCATGTTCCCCGACACCCTCTCGTTTACCTTTGACCCATTTCGCATGCACAACAATAAAGCTGTTCCCTGTCAACCACTATTCACCTCACATTCCTTTCAGTCCACTATGCTGACACGCAAGAATCTTCTCCGTCCTTTCGAGGACATTGATGGCCATTGTGGCGTATTCGTTTGCGGTGCCACTCCGATTTGGCTTTTTAGCAGCGATACGGGCCATATTCGTGTGTTCAACCATTCGATTGACGGGATAATGGGCAGTTTCGCTCCACTGAATACGGACATTTGTCCCTCGGGTTTTGTCTACTTCACCTATTCCGTACGTTCAACTAACTGGTATTCATCTACGCAGTAATGTTTTTGTTTATCATTCACTTACACACTATGCAGCTTTGTTCATTGTTTGATTTCTCTTTGAGATGCATTTGTTGGTGTAATGTTACTTTTGAGATCAGATAAGCTAACTGGTAGTGAGGTAATTATGACTTATGTGGGATCCAAGCTATTTTGTTTGGGGAATTCCATACCTTTATTCTTTATTGGAGTCCTGAAAGCTGTTCAAAATCGGTTATATCAGTATTTGTTTAACTGATTGATGCTTCTCACACGTCTCTGTTCATTAAATCAGTAATTCTGTTGTGATTATCATCAACAGCCATGTGAGTGTTAAATTGGTGTACGCTTTACACTTCCTAATAGATAATAGTTCAATACGGATCGTGATCACAAAGTATGCTTGAGTATGCCTAGTCACATTCATTGTGAAATCTGTCATTTGCATTTTCTACTATCGATCTTTTCTCCGAAATGATAGTGTGTCCTAGTTCTGAGACCTGAAAGACCACTGTGTGATGACCATGTGACAGGATGAATTGTTCATCCGTCATCGTTTCTGTGCAACGATTGACGCTACATGCTCGAGCGATGAATTTACCGTGAAAGATGAAGATCTGCCCATCTGAATCTTGTGAAACACTCGGGATCTGTCACCTGTCCGACTGGAAGAGCTTTTGTGTATCACAAATAATGTGCACAGTATTCCTCCCAAGGCAAACCACGCGAGCATTCCCCGTCGGTTCTTAATTATCGTCGAACCTAAGAGATAGAGAGCGCACTAGAAATGTTGTGTATGTTTAATTGCCGACGTGGTAAACAACGGAGGGAGCACCAAGACCGGATATAACAGGGTCTTCATTCACAAACAATCAACATAGCCTGGAACAGTTTTCTAGAATAACAATTCGGCAAGTATTAGTGCATTTACTGTTGAGCATAATGTTGATAGCGCAGTTTGAGTGGTTCGCTGATTGTTCACCGGCCTGAACAGTCAGCTTGGGAAAATTTCATCATCACTGGGATCGACATTATCGTTGTGGAGCAACGCGGTGCTTCTGACGATACCAGCCCAAGTAATGATGGAGCGAGATGGACCAAGTGGTTAGAGCGCTATTTTTCTGACCGCAATGTCCGTGGTTCAAACCCGACCTTTGTCTCTCGACTTCCCCTGTCTAGGCTTGGGCGACCTGGCAGTATCCCAACCCTCGTGCCTCCTTCATGTGGCATGGCAGCTAGGCACCGAAAGGGGGCTACAGCTGAACGATTATTATTATTATTATTACACACATACAATGCGGTCGCCAGAAGGGTAGGTCCAACCGGCTGCTACATCAGGAAAGACCAGAGCCTGTTTGACCATTTTGTCCTCCCTTCATATGTTTGTTGTACATCCCGTTTCCTGCAACACGTGTTATCTTTTTATCGCTGGTGCATAGACTGTGTAAGCCAACCACAACAATGTTGGTGTAGTGGCCGTTTATCTAGCCTACTATGGTCTCGGGAGCCCGGTACACTGTGATATTCGGAGTTGATCTATTATTATCATCCAACCTTGTACTCAAAATCTACTTGTTCATTTAGCGCTTTCTGAGTGTTGTCGTGAATAATTGTTTTCCTAACAGAATGAAATGCGATTGGCCACGTTACTGCCAGGCTACTCGTTCCAGCAACACTTGGGAATGCGTTGGGTCCCGCTGGAACTCACTCCGTACTTTTTACAATATCATATTGAGAGTAAAGTGAGTCCCTTCTGCTATCCTTTAGCTTCTTAGTTAGCCTTTGTCTGTCTACCTACACATTGACTATTGTGCGGACATGTCAGGTTTGTTCCCAGTGAAAGCTTACTACTGCTCAACCACTTGTGGCCGATTTGTATAGTACTGAGTTAATAAACTAGGTTGCAAGTTCAAATTCCTCTAGCAGGGAACGCAGATGCTGACAACCCCCAACAAGGAGAAACTGTCTTTCAGTTTTTCGGCCTCAGCATAGATTGGCTTCAAAGGCAACATAAAATCTCAGTTTGAAGATGTCTTGCCATTGCACACTTGTATCCCTGATACGAACATCTTGTCCATTTCTGCGCTTTTGAACACATGGCTATAGGCCTCCTTATGGTCAGGTTGTATGTGGACAAGGACCTTCGACGCCTCATATACCGTGAGAGGAATTTACCGTTAAGTTTAGTCTAGCCATACTAAGCAAACTAATGGACAGCTGTTCCATCCCACTGAGGCTCACAAGCACTGTCTGCTTGTGTATTCGAACCATTGAGCAACGGTTTCTGTAGAATTAGAAATCCAACATCCTAACCACCAAACTAGCTGTGTGGTGTGCGAGGTATCTGACCCCGCGAACACTCAGGAAATCCGAGGTTCGAACCCAGGTGTACCAACTATTCGTGAGCTGATTATGGTCGGGGATAACTTCACTTACGGCATATTTTACGCTTTGGCTGGTTGCTCGCAGTTCTCACGCCCACTTCATCATCATCATCATCATCATCATGGAAGACAGCAACATCAGTGTTGGCGCTGATGCTTCACATGCCCACTTGCCTTGTTGTTAACTCGCGTCTCCGTTGCAATAAAGCCGCAGTGTTTTGTCTCGTGGACTATCAGCGGCTTGCAACCCTATGTGAAAACAGCACGTTTGGAGAGCATATGGACTCGTTAGTTAGCTCACGCAACACGCATGCTAAATTAGGAAAATGAATAAAATTACTTGAGTCATGTGCATCTCCCGAAAACGATCAGCTGTTCTGTCATATGTTCATCAGAATCCAACCTGCACCTGCTCAGGAAGCACATAGCAATTATGGCAGTCTTTATACTTGTCAAAATAACCTTTCCAGCTGAAATCATCATAATCAAAGACAGGAACATCAGCGTTGGCACTGATGCTTCACTGCCGTACAACCATAAGTTCGTCTAGTATATATAT